GACCTACAGGGCTGCAACGTCTTATGTTGCAGGAATTTCTACGACGAGTAAGAGTTTCGTTGTAGGGTTACGGTCTACACTCAACTTGCCGTTGGCGTTATGGGACTCCACACCCGTTTGATTGTTTCCGCTAAGACTTATGAGGTATATATCAGTTTCACGTTATTTATACATGTGATTGCACTTTGATATATACATTGATGTACTGTGTGTGCCAGCATACCGATCCAGGGATGGCACAGATACACAGAGGCTTGACTGTTTGAGGTCGGGTCGCTACAGTAACATTGGGAAAAGTTCACATGCTACTCCCACATTTGCTCATATCTAAATATTTTATCAAGTACAATTTTTCTGTTTGCATCTTGGAGATCATTGAACAACACAATTGGTGTGTGATCAGATTTGACAGGGCAAAGCCCTCGCGGATAAGCTTATCCTCGCGACTCCGCAGCCTCTGCTCGCACCTATAAATCCCCCAAGACCCCCTCTCACTCCACTCTGTCGTTGCCAGCACCCGATCTAATCGTACTCTACAGAACTGGTATTATTGATCTTTTTTTCGAACGTCCAATCAAGGTCGATGTGGTCGAGATCATTCAGACTACACAAATCCATAGCTTCTCTTAACCCTGCCATTTGTGCTGCATCCCTTTCATTTGGTCCAAATTGTTCCTCACTTCGGAGTATCTCGTTGAAGTCACCGATACAAATCCATGGAAGTGTGGACTCACTTTGCAATCTGGCCATTGTCTCCCATGTGTTGTGCCTCAAGCTATGGTTTGCCTCTCCATAGAAGCAAGTCAACCTCCAATCTTCCTTAGCATGTTCTTGTACACATGTATCAATGTGATAACGTGAGTAATTCTTTACTCGAACATTCAGACCATGCCTCCAGAACAGCCCCAATCCACCAATACGACCAGTACTAGAAACAACAAAACCCCCAACAAAGCCTAACGTTGTTGTGCACACATTTTAAATTTGATTGTCCAAGCTGGTCTGAAACTTATTGATAAATCTATTGGGAATCGTTGCATGGAAAAACAAAAAAATTCTACACACATGCAATGATCTATGCATGGAGATGCATAACAACGAGGGGAGAGTGTGTCTACGTACCCTCGTAGACCGTAAGCGGAAGCGTTTCTCAACGCGGTTGATGTAGTCGAACTTCTTCGCGCTTCAACCAATCAAGTACCGAACGCACGACACCTTCGCGTTCTGCACACGTTCAGCTCGATGACGTCCCTCGCCTTCTTGATCCAGCAAGATGTCGATGTAGTAGATGAGTTCTGTCAGCACGATGGCGTGGTGATGGTGATGGTGAAGTGATCCTTGCAGGGCTTCGCCTAAGCACTATGAAGATATGACCGTGGGAGTAAAAGGTGGAGGGGGGCGCCGCACACGGCTAACAATTGTATGGGGTGTGCTAGCCCCCCCCCCACATATATATAGGTGGGAGGGAGAGGGAAGGCAGCCAGGGCGCGCCCCAAGTAGGATCTGAATCCTACTTGGGGTTTCCCCAAGTGGTGCCCCTCTTGCCTTATTTCATCGAAGAAGAAAGGGAAGGGGGAAGATAGAAAGGAAGGGGGGACCGAACCCCGTTTTTCTTTCTCCCAATTCGGCCTCCTGCCATAGGGGGGGAGCCACCCCTTGTGGGGTGGTGTGCTCCCCTCTCATGGCCCATATGGCCCATATATTCCCCCAGGGGTTCCGGTAACCCCTCCGGTACGACGGTACTTCGATAAATACTCGATACACTCCGGAACACTTCCCGTGTCCGAATACTATCATCCTATATATCAATCTTTACCTCTCGACCATTTAGAGACTCCTTGTCATGTCCGTGATCTCATCCGGGACTTCGAACAACATTCGGTCACCAAATCACACAACTCATATAATACAATAGCGTCATCGAACGTTAAGCGTGCGGACCCTACGGGTTCGAGAACTATGTAGACATGACCGTGACACCTCTCCGGTCAATAACCAATAGCAGAACCTGGATGCCCATATTGGATCCTACATATTCTACGAAGATCTTTATCGGTCGAACCGTTATGACAACATACGTAATTCCCTTTGTCTATCGGTATGTTACTTGCCGCGATTCGATCGTTGGTATCTTCATACCTAGTTCAATCTCGTTACCGGCAAGTATCTTTACTCGTTCTATAATACATCACCTCGTGACTAACTCCTTAGTCGTTTGCTTGCAAGCTTATGATGTGTATTACCGAGAGGGCCCAGAGATACGTCTCTGATACTCGGAGTGACAAATCCTAATATCAATATATGTCAACTCAACAAACACCTTTGGAGATATCCTATAGAGCATCTTTATAATCACCCAGTTACGTTGTGATGTTTGATAGCACACATGCATTCCTCCGGTATTCGGGAGTTGCATAATCTCATAGTCGAAGGAATATGTATTTGACATGAAGAAAACAATAGCAATAAAACTGAACGATCAATATGCTAAGCTAACAGATGGGTCTTGTCCATCACATCATTCTCCTAATGATGTGATCCCATTATCAAATGACAACTCATGTCCATGGTTAGGAAACCTTAACCATCTTTGATCAATGAGCTAGTCAAGTAGAGGCTCACTAGGGACACAGTGTTTGTCTATGTATTCACACATGTATTTAGGTTTCCGATCAATACAATTCTACCATGAACAATAAAAAATTATCATGAATAAGGAAATATAAAATAACAACTTTATTATTGCCTATAGCGCATATTTCCTTCAAAATCTGTTGACAAGATTAGAGATGGCATTCGGTATATCAAAATTTCTTCCAATTGTATTCACAAGTTCTATGAAACTGGCCAGAACATTTACCATTCGAATGAAGATAGAAAGCTGGGAGTAGATATGCCTGTCCGTTGGAATTCAACATACATAATGCTTGAGAACTCTTTGTATTTCAAAGATGCATTACTGTGGTTTGGTAATAGGGATGGCACATTCAAGTCCAATTTTTCTCTAACTCATGATGAATGGGGAAAAGTTGCTATCATGCATGATTTCTTGAAAACTTTCTATGAAGTGACCAACATAATTTCTGGGACAAAGTATCATGCATCCAATTTGTATTTCAAGTGTGTGTTCCTGGTGCAATCATGTCTCTTGAAAGCATCTAGTGAAAGAAAGAAGTTGATGGCACCAATGCTAACTCCAATGAAAGAGAAGTTTGATAAGTATTGGGCTGATTATAATGTATTTTTGTCTTGTGCTGCTGTCTTGATCCCCATTGCAAGCTTGCTTTTGTTAGCTACTGTTATGGAAAACTTTATGCCCCCGACGAGGCCGAACGCTGGGTGGATGAAGTTAAGAAAACTTTGGTGAATTTGTTTGCCGAATATAGTGCTGCTGCTGTTAGTGAAACACCATCAGATGGTGCTACAGACAGTAAGGGAAGTAGGGGAGATGATGCTGATATGTTCAATGACTATGAGAATTACATACAATCTCAACGCACAACTGTAGAGAGGTCTCAATTGGATCTTTACTTGGAAGAAACACCTAGAAAATTGAATGACAAGTTGGATGTCTTGGAATTTTGGAGCAAATCATCTATGCGATATCCTCAGCTTGCTTCAATGGCTCGGGATGTTGTTGTTGTCCCCATTTCTAGTTTTGCTATGGAGCAGGACTTTAGCATGAGTCACAAAGTTATAACGCCTAACCGAGCTTCACTTAAGCCTAAAACCATCGAGGCTTTAATGTTTCTGCAAGATTGGTATCGTTGGTAGATGTCTCATAATGAAGGTACAATCGGGTGTGCTTTGTTGTTTCATATTTAACATCATGGTTACTCATGTTATCATTGTTTATTGTGTTGTTTGTTTTGTAGAAATGAGCACTGCGGGAGGTGGACCTTCAAGTCCTCATGCGGAGGAGTTATCTTTAGATTCAGTTTGTGTTCATTCTTTCTTCCTTACTATCTTGTGCACTGATATCATGTTACCATTGATTATATCTTGTTAGTTCATATCATTTCTCTCTTGCTTTGTTCCAGGAAAATGATTAAGTTATTATAGCTTGATGGAACAAGAAAGAGATGAAGTCAAAAGAGTCATCAACTTGTTTCTTCGTTATTTGATATGATGTTCTGTAATGAACTTGTCAGACTATGTTATGGAGTATGGACTTGCTATTATGTATTTTGTAACAGACTAGCTATTTGTTATCTTGTGAGACTATGTATTTATTATGTAGTATGGACTTGCTATTATGAACAAGAAATATGATGCTGTTATGTAATGATGTAACAGACTTGCCTTTTGCTATCTTGTGAAGAATTTATGTTGCTGTTATGTGAAGATTTCATATGTGTATATGCTGATGTTTGCTGGAAGCCTGGAATATATATGATGTTTTGTTCGGATAACATGTCTATAGTGTTGTTTGTTGGAATATACTATATAGTGTTGTGAAGAGTAGTTGTGTATATAGGCTGCTGTATATGTTGCTGACCTGCTGTTTGCTGGAATAGTGGAATGTATGTGCTGTTTTGTAAAGATCATATAGTATTGTTTGCTGAAATATATATGCTGCTGTGAAGATACCATATATATGCTGCTATTTTGTGACATATGATGTTATTATTCTGCTGTTTTGTAAAACGTTGATGTTCAATGTGCTGTATACCAGGAGCAGCCGGGCTTTGGGCTTTTCATCCGGGCCGGGCTCGGGCTTATAAATCTAAAAAACTCTTGGGGGCTTTTTCCGGGCTCAGGCTTCACATTGTAGCGTCGGGCTTTTAAGAGCCCGTCCCGAGAGATGCCCAGGTTACTCAACCCCAATTCACCACTTCCCCTGCCCGCCGCACGCACCTGCAGTCAACACCTTTGTCTCAAAAAAAAAAAACCTGCAGTCAACACCTACTACGCCGCTAACCTGTCCAGCGCCTCCACCTCCCTTCCGGCTAGGCATTCCGTCGAGCACCAGCCCCCGACCAACCGCCGCCGCCGCAGCCATGCTCCCCACGAAGCCCCAGCTATCTTCCTCTCTGCTCGCATCCACGCCGCTCTTTAACCCCGCATCCAATCCCAACCACGCCAAGCCAATCGCCGCCTCCCCCTCCCCCCGCCGCCGCCTCCGCATCTCCGCCGCATCCACGGCGGTTTCGCCGGGGGCGACGGCGCTCAGCCGCGTCGACGTGCTCTCGGAGGCGCTCCCCTTCATCCAGCGCTTCAAGGGCAAGACGGTGGTGGTCAAGTACGGCGGCGCCGCGATGAAGTCCCCCGAGCTGCAGTCCTCCGTGATCCGCGACCTCGTCCTCCTCTCCTGCGTCGGCCTCCGCCCCATCCTCGTCCACGGCGGCGGGCCAGAGATCAACTCCTGGCTGCTCCGCGTCGGCGTCGAGCCGCAGTTCCGCAACGGCCTCCGCGTCACCGACGCGCTCACCATGGAGGTCGTCGAGATGGTGCTCGTTGGCAAGGTCAACAAGAATCTCGTCTCCCTCATCAACCTCGCCGGAGGCACCGCCGTCGGCCTCTGCGGCAAGGACGCGCGCCTCATCACCGCGCGCCCCTCCCCCAACGCCGCAGCCCTTGGCTTCGTTGGCGAAGTCGCGCGGGTGGACGCCACTGTCCTCCACCCCATCATCGCCTCTGGTCACATCCCGGTCATTGCCACCGTTGCTGCCGACGAGACAGGGCAGGCCTACAACATCAACGCGGATACGGCGGCAGGTGAGATTGCCGCTGCGGTGGGCGCCGAGAAATTGCTACTGCTCACAGATGTGTCTGGGATACTGGCGGACCGTAATGACCCTGGCAGCCTGGTGAAGGAGATTGACATCGCTGGGGTGCGGCAGATGGTATCCGGTGGGCAGGTTGCTGGTGGAATGATCCCAAAGGTGGAGTGCTGCGTGAGAGCCCTCGCCCAGGGTGTGCACACTGCAAGCATCATCGATGGGCGTGTCCCGCACTCGCTGTTGCTCGAGATTCTCACAGATGAGGGCACTGGCACAATGATCACCGGCTAAGGTGTAAAATGCCTCCTTGGTACTTCCTTATGCCTTTCTGTTCATACTGCCAATCTGCCATGTAATTTATGCCAATGTAGCCTCACCTCATGATTGCAATAAGAGTACCTTCCTGACATTTGTGTACTGTAGGAGAGTAATGCTGACTGAGGTTGCATTTGATTTTGATAAAGCTTCTTTTGTTGGGCCGTGGTATGAGTTTTTGTCTAGCAAAGCAAGAATAGTAGCATCTGTGCCATTTCTTTTCTTAGTGATAAGCGTAGTTTTGCAATTCTGCATGACTGTAAATTCTTCCTTTTTTAAGCATAGTTCAAAATTTCCTATGGGATTCAGTTGCAAAGATTGTAAACTGATGTGTCACATATGTACTTGAATACATCTTGAAAATTCATGGGAAAGCTAGTATAGAAAATGGGTAGCTGGTGATTTCAGTAAGTTCCATTTTTTTTTTTTGCGGGAAGTAAGCTCCAATTAGCAATGTTGTTTCACAAAAATATTGCCTATGCTTTGAAGCCACTTAATGATAAAATCGTAAGCTTATAAATATTGTACACAAGTATTGTTTGGAACAGTAATAGTGCTTGTGAGCCTTTTTACACATTCCTGGCTGTCAAACTGTGATGGCACAATAAAAGGAAAACTAGATATAAGGCCATCCATCACTAGGGCCTCTTGCAGTCTTACCGGAGCTAACCAAATTATAATTTTCATGCCATGACATTCATGATCTCAACATGTTTAGTGTCAACATTTCTGTAGAAACAATGGTACCAACTGCAGTGTTTCACACAAGTCATTTCTTCATTCACATTTCACATATTTTTAGTGATCATTTTAGGTAATACAAGAGCTAAACTTTGCCTTTTCTTTTGCTCTTGACTTCACTACCCAATCATTCTAATTCCAATTAAAACAGTTACATTCTAGCATAGTATTAGCATTTATCTCAAGTTTACGTAGTATTCTGGCTTGGGTTTATCCTTTATAGGTTGCTCAAAGGATATATAATCTTTCTCTTACTGAAGTAATTGAGTAAACGTTATTCCATGCTTGATTGAAGTCACCAAATGATATATTTCAGTTATGCACTTCTTTCCTTTTGATAGAGCTACTTGTCTGAGAGGCAGGTAAATTACATTCTTTACGATTTGATGAGTTCTGTCTCATCCTTCTCACTACAGTCGATGCTTGGTACACCCGTCTATGAAACTAAGAACACTCAAAAACATCTTTTCAGTACATAATTAACTACTCACTGCAACAGATAAAAATAGGTGGCGGGGGTGATTCACCATCTCTAAACCTTATTGAGAGCCAAAAAGAGTATGGCTGGAGTAGTCTTGTCAATAAGCATTGACTGACCTGCAACTGCATTTACCCACTGACCAGCTACAGGTTTTCATTCTGAAGGCCTCTTAACTTCAGCAGAAGGCCTTCCCTTTCCCTGGTCTTTGGCAAATACTGTATTAATCATGAAAGTTGCTAGTAATAAAAGATGCATGCACCAGCACTTTCTCCATATATCCCCCTTGTCGCTGCAGTAGTAAAATAATATAATCAGTGTGTTAAGCTATCTTAACATAGAGAACATGTAACATTCTTCTGTTAACTTTCTCCTGGGATGTCCACTGATCGGGCGTCGGGCCCTTGTAACTATCACCTCCTAGGTGGTTTGTACTCTCTCATCTTTTCAATGCAATGAAACGCAAAGATCCTTTTGCGTTTTCTTGAAAACAAACACATAGAGAACATTTAACATTCTTCTGTTAACACACTGCTGTTAAATTTCACATGTCCTGCCGAGGCTGCTCCTAGCACTGTATCCATGCACTGGTAGTCTTGGCAATTGCGGCGCCTACTTTTACTTTCTCTAGCATTCAGATTTACCTTACGTTTTGAACTTTCTTCATATACTTTAGAACTGTTGTTGAAAAGAAACTATGGATACAGAACCTGCTTTAACGTTGTGAAAATTGGAATGGAACAGTTTACAAGTGAACTGTGCTTTTGCTTATCACCAGACTAGTACATCTGCTATTTGTGTCCAGTATATACTGCTAAGTGTTTCTTTTTGGGAATATACTGGTTAGTGCTGTTCCATTATTCTATCCCTATGTTCAGTGGGCTGCTTGCTAGTGATACCTTTTGGTGGTAAGCATTGAATCTCACAAAAAAGATCCATCCCAATGGCCGACATTGGTTTTTGAGAATTCCTTCTGTGCCACCGAATAACACCACAATCCCTGATTTGCCACCGAATAATTTATTTTTTTTCCCGGAAGAAGAGCAACTCCTTATTCCTTCTGTGCAATCAAATTTTGAGTTTTCGTCCTTGCATACCATTAGTGCGACCATCTTGACAGTTTGGTATCTATTTGTCCGTGCACTAGACAAGGGGACAATGATGGTGCTGATGCCATCGAAGGAAGAAAAATTCCAAACCTATTGACATGGAAGTATAGGGTTTTGTTGGTAAATCATGAAATGAAGCTATTCAGTGGTAAAATGATTTTTTCTTTCTGGCATTCACCTATTTCAGTCTGAACTTGCAGCCATGTACTATTGGTCAAGAATAAAAGAAGTTCATTTATTCGCAGCTTCCGCTTTATATTTTTTTTTCATGTGAACTGAAACCACGGATGCAATATCCATTCTACTTGGAACTCTTTCTAGGAATTTCTAAGCTAAAACCTTGACTTTACTTTTTTCTTTTCTTTCAGGTTTTCTTGTAAATTTTAAAGCGCCAGCCCAGGCGCAGAGCTAAGTGCAGCGTGATGGATAGAACTGCGGAAACCAAGTGGATGGGGAAAAGGACTTCGATTGAGCGCCGCTACGTCAAGGTCCAATTATGCTAGCCATGAGGATGCGGGAGACTGATATGGGTTTGATTCTTCTCGTCAGTTTCGACCACCATGTTGTCATGGGCATAGCATAGTGAACTCCACTCATAGCTAAAAAGGAACGGTGCCTGCCTTCTTTTCAGTATCTAATTACCGCATTCGTCGGAGCTCTTCCGCTGCTGCATCTCATTTGTTGGACGGGGATATGCTGAGAAAACGAAGGGCAAATCTGTGCCCACTGACTAATTATGTTGCCTGCTTGCTTTTCTTGTGTGATACTGAATAATACCGGTGTGCATCGTTTACCAGCATTGTTTATTAGTAAGTACGTGTTTAGGGTATTGTTTATTGCCTGTTGTAGTCTTTGTTACCGTCCGACCCGTGGAGCAATTTGAGCTTCCCTTGATTTTTCATCTCTGCATTGCATGTGGTCTGCTCAGTCTGGTCCGTCGACGTAAGTGGTAAAGTTGCATTTACTATGCACTCCCTCCGTTCCAAAATAGATGACCCAACTTTGTACTAATTTAGTAAGTTAGTACAAAGTTGGGTCATCTATTTTGGAAGGGAGGGAGTAATCACTTGGGGCTATGTGCCTGTCTGTCCATGGCTGATACGTCGTTCGGTGCCGCAATGCCATCAGATTTGCAGTTCTCAAGTGTGCATCACGTTCTTCACAAATTAAACTTGGGTCTAACCATCTATTCAGAGGCCACGTGGCGCAGGGAATCGTCTTGTCGTATTGCCTGGTGCTAATGGTGTGTGTTCAGTTTGCTCAAGCGAAGATGCCAACACGCTCGAGACAGAACGGTGGGGAGGACCGGATCTTAAGCAGCCCATTGGAACTGATCAACGACAGCGAGTGGCGCTTTGTTTATAAGTAGACGTCGAAAAATTCTGTGCTTATCAGGGAGTATTGCGGCCTTAATTAGTCAGTCAGTACTGTGATGTCCCAATGTAGAATAAGCAGAGGCACCACTGGCAAATTTGTTCGGCGCAAGCGGATAACCGCATTTGGTGACTGTGCGAACGAACATCCCTTGGATTCCACTCCGGAAATAACAACGATTCCCTGCCCAAACCCCTCCAAAACGCCTCACAAAACCGTTGGCGCTCGCTCCAAACCCCTACGTGTACCATCTGATGTTTATACAGCTATTGAACGTCGATTCTTCCCATCAAGAAAGTGCGCTCCTGCGATTATACATATTGGACGAGACAAAAATGAAGTATTCCAAAGGCCAAAAGGCGCAACTTGTCACTCTTGCGAGCTGCGGAAGTACCAGCGGGCGTTATTATAGGCTACGAACCGCAAGGAACCTAACCAACGACCGAAAGAGACCAACGCCGAAGCATGGCGGTATGCACGATCGCGACCATGCACGCCGTCGTGCACCACGGCCACCACCCTCGCCTCCAGGTCCCGCCGCCGCGCCGGCTCGTCCGCGTCGCAGCCGGCGCCACCGCTGCCGCGGCGACGGAGCCAGACACGCTGTCGAAGGCGTTCTGGGACTACAACCTCCTCTTCCGGTCGCAGCGCGGCGAGACGTCCGCCCCCGTGCAGCTCCGCGTCACCGAGGGCGCCATCCCGCCCGACTTCCCGGCCGGCACCTACTACCTCGCCGGGCCCGGCATGTTCTCCGACGACCACGGCTCCATCGTCCACCCGCTCGACGGCCACGGCTACCTCCGCTCCTTCCGCTTCCACCCCGACGACGGCGTGCGCTACTCCGCAAGGTACGCCACGCACCACTTAGCAAGCAAGCCGGCCGCCGTGCCACCTTGGGAATTCGGCGGCGTGTACTGTAATGTCGTCCGTCGACGATCCCGGTGTGAGTTTACAGAGCACGCGTATACGCAGGTACGTGGAGACGGCGGCGAAGACGGAGGAGAAGGGGGACGGCGCGTCGTGGAGGTTCACGCACCGGGGCCCCTTCTCGGTGCTGCAGGGTGGGCACAGGGTGGGCAACGTGAAGGTGATGAAGAACGTGGCCAACACCAGCGTGCTCTGGTGGGGCGGCCGGCTGCTCTGCCTCTGGGAGGGCGGCATGCCGTACGAGCTCGACCCCAAGACGCTGGAGACCGTCGGCCCGTTCGACCTGCTCGCGCTCGGCGACCGCGCCGACGGGGCGGCCCCCGCACGGCGCCGCCTGGGGCACCGCCGGCGGCCGTGGCTGGCGGAGGCCGGGCTCGACGCGGCCACCCGCTTGCTGCGCCCCGTCCTCAGCGGTGCGTGCTGTTCACTTTGAGTAGAGTAGACTAGTCGTTGCGCACCGAGCTAGCGTGGATGATCTGACGTTTGTGCGCCGGCCCGGTCGCCATTATCCCGTGCAGGCGTGTTCAGCATGCCGCCCAAGCGGCTGCTGGCGCACTACAAGGTCGACCCCAAGCGCAACCGGCTGCTCATGGTGGCCTGCAACGCCGAGGACATGCTCCTCCCGCGCGCCAACTTCACTTTCTACGGTCTGCAGCACGCCCTCGTCCATCTCCATCCATATGCCCATTAAAATCAAATCACTGATGGTACGTATGCAGAGTTCGACGCCGGCTTCAGGCTGGTGCGGAAGCGGGAGTTCGTGCTGCCGGCGCACCTCATGATCCACGACTGGGCCTTCACCGACTCCCACTACGTCGTCCTCGGCAACAGGATCAGGCTCGACATCCCGGGGTCGATGCTGGCCATGACGGGCACGCACCCCATGATCGCGGCGCTGGCGCTGGACCCGAGCAGCCGGACCACGCCGGTCTACCTGCTGCCACGCTCCACGGAGGCCGTGGCCAGAGGCCGCGACTGGACCGTGCCCGTCGAGGCGCCGTCGCAGATGTGGTCGCTGCACGTCGGCAACGCCTTCGAGGAGGACAACGCCCGCGGCGGCCTCGACCTGCACCTGCACATGTCGGGCTGCTCCTACGACTGGTTCCATTTCCACAGGATGTTCGGTAACGTCGTCGGCATGGCGCCAAACATTCAGTTGATCTTCGTCTGCACTTTTACTACTGCTCAAGTGCGACGATGATCCCAGTGACTGACATATCTGTGCTGCGATGGTGCGATTCTCACAGGTTACAACTGGAAGAACAAGAAGCTGGACCCTTCGTTCATGAACGCGGTCAAGACCAAGGAAATGCTGCCTCGCCTTGTGAAGGTGAACGAATGCTTGTTTTAGTAAATCATAATTCAAACTTTTGTCAAATTTCAGTAGGTTTCAGTTAAATTTGAGTCCTGTTCGAACTGCTTGTTCGGGCCTATGATAATTTAACTGCTAATTTCAGAAATTTTATCTTGTCAAACGCAGGTGGCAATTGAGCTCGACAAGAGAGGAGGAGCATACCGGAGATGCACCGTGAAGAGATTATCCGATCAGTGGAACAGACCGGCAGACTTCCCTGCGATAAATCCAGGCTACGCCAACAAGAGGAATATGTTCATTTACGCGGGCGCTGCCTCCGGTTCTCGCAAATTACTCCCATATTTTCCGTTTGACAGCGTTGTCAAGGTCGATGTCTCGAATGGGTCAGCGAGGCGGTGGTCTTCCGAGGGGCGCAAGTTCGTCGGGGAGCCGGTCTTCATCCCCACCGGCGGTGGGGAGGAGGATCACGGCTATGTTCTTCTTGTAGAGGTAACTACATATGCCCTGTCAGTATGTACATAACTCTTCGAAGCTATTATTGGAATTCAACAACTTTCAAAGATTCCAGGTGTTTCAAACATCTGCACCATTTGACGCCCCCAATCTCCTTTTGCAGTATGCAGTATCCGAGGACAGATGTAACCTGGTGGTGTTGGATGCAAGGAAGATAGGGAAAAGAGGCGCACTTGTGGCAAAACTTGAAGTACCAAAGCACCTCACCTTCCCAATGGGATTCCATGGGTTTTGGGCTGATGAATGAATGGCAAAAATCGCAGGCAGCCACTCTGATAAGCAATTGTTAGGCTCGCAAAACTGGGCAAAATCTGATCGATTTTGATATGAGTGTAAAATGTATGTATATCCTGTGGGATCCCATATCCTGATCCGTTCTTATACAGCAACCATTCATAGGGAGCTTGTCAAATCTCGCATCACTGATGAACCGTTCGTACTGCATTTAGTATTTCACAGCAGGATAACAAGCATGACTGATGCAGTTGATATGAACTATGGATGATAAAAACAATTATTACCACAACCCACAGAGTAAACATATTGAATTTCCACTGAGAATTGTAACAGCACGGCAACTTTTAATGTTCTAGACCTGGAAACTAAGACGGACACTGTCCCTGATCACAACCATAAGAAACCCATACGAAATCACTAGGACTATAACTGATCCTGTACAATACTAACCACCAAGTGTGAAGTCGACGAATTGTTGTGCTCACTTTATGCGAGCTATTGTTACGACGATGAAGACGAACACCGAGAGCATGAAGGACATTCTCACTACATCGTCAGACAAATCGTAGTCCATGCTCTGGGCCTGGAAGAGCGTGTGCACGAGCTGAAGTATCTTCTCAAGGAACTCCTTGATCTTCGCCTGGGTGTTCTCCAGGACCCATTGCATCATTCCAGGAGGAGCACTAGAGCTCCCCTTATTATCAGTTTCCTTAGCTGAAAAGTAGGATAATTTGCATCAGATGCAGATCCACCCAACATAATACTGGAATTGGAAGAAATACACCTTGCATTTTGGAATTTTATCAAAAAACAAATACACCTTATATAAAGGAACAGAGGGAGTAGATGCGACTTTGATGGAACAGCTAAATAAGGTAACTTGTACTAAATCAGAGACAATTAATATGGATCGGAGGGAGTACCAAAGTTTATAAAATTTGACGTTAACAATCAAAAGGTTATCTTTCATCCACGTCAAGTCAATATGAAGATGTACATACAAAGATCATTAAGAAGGGTCACGTACCATCCTGGAAGGACTTCTTAAATTCTTGCACCACCTCATTGTTCATGACAGCGTTCCATACAGCCTTATCAGTTGACAAGGCCATAACCATTTTCTGCATCGAGGAAGAAAAATGTCACAGCAAAGAAGAAAAAATAGTGATTTTTGGTCAATATTTCGTGGCACTGAGAAATTTGAGATTCTTCTATGCATAAATACCATACAATGACTCAAATCAAGCAGTATTCACCTGAACAGAGGCATCTTCTTTCAACAGCTGGAATGCGTCCAGTACATTTTGATGTTCCCTTGTCATAAGAGCAGTCGAGTTAAGTGCAAGTGTGCCAGGTTCAGTGCACTCGTCTAATCCGATGTTGGATGGAGAACTCCCTAAGTTGGCTATTTGGACAGTTTGCTTCTCGGATGCATCAGAATCGGCAGCAAAATAGTTAACAAACATCCCAGATGAAGAGAGTCCTGCGATGGGCAGTGCGAGCGCTTGTAACTCGAGTGCATCAGAATCCACACCCGAAGGATTCTCAAATACCCTGCATACGACAGAGTTTTGTTTAATTTGTTCAGATGGAACATGTAAAAACCAGATACCATCAATTAAACTACTAAGGAGCGGACAAGCTTTAAGTAATGATAACAAAGGAGAGTGTGCGCCCTACAACAGGGTAGCAGGCTAATTAAGCAATGATGGAGTGTGTAAACTGCAATTGGTGCATGATCATGGAAGTGGGATCCAACTGAACTTTGTAGCATATGACAACAATTGGCGCACACCCCTGAACCTGAACAGTTTCAAAAATACAAGCAAGAGTAATCTGCAAGGAAAGTAGCATGGTTGGAGCTGTGTCCATGACATAAACGTGATAAATCACGGGAAAATATCCATCTAAATTCCAGAACAATCACATGATTAAAATAGTCACTAAGTAATAATTGTTCAAGACAGTTCCGATCTTCCAATCATCCGGAGATGACGAACTGATCATCAGCAGCATAACGTACAAAAAAATAATACTCGATCAATCTAAGTGGATGCTTTTTAAGATTCTTCTTTGGAAAACAAGTTGATAGATTAAGCATAAATCTTACTGCTGGATGCTGGCGACGGCGGCATGGACCTCCTCATCTGTAGGGGGGGCGTCGAACGTCACCTCGTCCCCGCCCGCCGGCCACTCGCTCGCGTAAACCGCCGCCTCCTCCTCTGCCCCCACGGCCTTATCCCCGACGGCCAAGAACTCCTTCAGCCCCTCCTCGCCGTCGAGCCGCAGCTTGATGGAATCCCAGCCAGCGACGGAGGCGATGGAGACGGTCGGCGGCGGCGGAGAGGTGGCGCGCAGAGAGAGGCCACCGTTGCGCGCGCCGGCGGGGGAGGCGGGGGCGTGCCCGAGGCCGCCGCGGCCGGCGAGGCGGACCTGGTGCTTGCTCGGCGGGTTGCTGCTCATGGCGGCGCCCAGGAACCGCACGGACGAGTCGGCCCCCCTCCAGCTGTTCTCCCGCCTCCTGTACACGACGTGGACCACCATGGCTGGACCTCACCGCCGCCGCCGCCGCTCGCCGCGCTTTCCCCTCGCCCGAGGTTTGTTTAGGAGGAGGCCGAGTTGGTTAGCCGCGATGGTTGAAGCAACCGGTTTGTTTGGGTATTTACGCGGCGTCGTCGGTTAATTTATTATCTCCTTGGCGTTCCTTGTGGAACTTTGGAAGGAGATTCCGCGATAAATATTTGTTGTTAAGATGTCCTTTCAACCATAAATATTTTATCTGATGCCGTGAGGTGTTTTCATTTGCGTGGAGTGTAATATGCGAGCAAATCCACGTCGGATGTTCTTTTCGATGGGTTAATGCGCTTTGTGATTACGACCCCTGCGTGCCGCCCAAGATTTTCTGCCACCTTGTTTAATGTGCTCCTACTACTTTTTATATTTAAAGGAAAATCGGGGGTACAAGACCATCTCCAATAGCCTCACTGAAAAGTTTACGGGCCTCTCTTCAAAATCCAATAATCTCTTTCTAATATTATTATAATACTTGCCGCTTCAATGGATGCTACTAAATGTATTTCAGTATTAGATATATCCGTTTGAGCGACGAGTGGTATGGATCGGAGAGGGTACAAAATCTTACCTTGAGGTCCTAATGTGATGGCCTTCTCTTTCTCCGGTGGTGGCGTGACGGCGGCAACGAGCAGTGGCGGCGGACGAGGGGGCAGCAATAGTCGGTGGCAGTGCATGGTCTTTGGCGGCCGACGGTGATGGTTGACGATGGCGGTGTGGTGGTCTTCGGTAGCGATCGACGGCGATAGCGGCACGGTAGCCTCTGTCGGCGGGAGGCGGCAACAATGGGGTGGCAAACGACGGCGGCACAATTCTTCTGCGACGGACTCTAACGCATGCATGTTGATGTGACATTTATTAGAAGTTTTGGGAGGATTAAAATTTTCGAAAGAGATGATGGTTTGATTATTGTAACATCTCAAGAATTTATTTGGAAAAGGCATGCTGGAACAATTTTCTTCTCAACTCTCTCTATACGGAATATTATGAGGGAAAAGTAGCCTCTCATATGTTTTTTTACGAGAAATTTTTTGATCTATTCATTTTCAATCGTGACAGTACAACGAATATTAGAAATGAAAAAAATTACATCTAGATCCGTAAACCACCTAGCGACGACTACGAGCACTGAAGCGAGCCGAAGACGCGTCGCCATCATCGCCCCTCCATCGCCGGAGTCGGGCACAACTTGTTGTAGTAGACAGTCGGGAAGTCGTCATGCTAAGGCCCCGTAGGACCAGCGCACCAGAACAACAACCGCCACAGATGAAGAATAACATAGATCAGAAGAATCCAACTCAAAGACACACGAACGTAGACGAACAACGACGAGATCTGAGCAAATCCGTCGGAGACACACCTCCACACGCTCACCAACGGTGCTAGACGCATCGTCAGAACGGTGTCTAGACGAGGAGACCTTTATTCCATCTTCAGGGAGCCGCTGCCGCTCGTCTTTCTGAGCAGGACACAAACCCTAACAAAACTGAAAGAAACGACTAAAGACGGAGCCCTCCCGCTGGCCCTTGCCGAGATCCACTGCGCCCCATGGTCCTAGGGCCACCGGAGAGAAGTGGATCTGTGGCGGCGCCGGCGGGAGGCAGAAACCCTAGCTCTTTTTGTGGAGGAGGAGGAGGCATGCTTTATTTTTTTAACATGGTATAAACATAGAGGAGGTATTCGAGATGATGAGCCAGCACAACATTTTAAGATCAAGATATGTGTCTTCGCAGTGTTTTTATAGTTGACGAAAATGTCTCCTCCTACTGAATATACACGTCAAAAAAGTTGAAATAAATCAAAAAATATATAAACACGTGTCAAGTCCATAAATTAAAGCCTAATGGGCTGGTTGTATTTTACATATCTAGTGTTTATCATACACATTTTTTTTGCATGGGTTTATCATACACATTTGCTCGTGCCAACAACAGACTCCAAAACCGTAAGGCAATACCACACCAAAGCAACAAAGCGTGCATGCGCGCAGTCACGGTAGAAAAAAAAACAAAAATGGTGGAATCAACTACTGCCTCCGTTTTAGTTTATTGGCCCCGTAATATTTTGTGCCAAATTTTGATCATGAATTTAATTAAAATAATAATAATAATGCATGTCACCAAAAATTATATAGTTGGATTCGTATTTAAACATAATTTCTAGTGATATTATTTGTGGTTACATGCATTAATATTTTGTTCGTTAAATCTAATGTCAAAATTTAGCACAAAATATGAAGGGACCAATATTAAGTACTCTCTCCGTTTCTAAATATTTATCTTTTTAGAGATTTTAAATGGACTACCACATACCGATGTATATAGATATATTTTAAAGTTTAGATTCACTCATTTTGCTTCGTACGTAGCTATTTATTGAAATCTCTAAAAGGACAAATATTTCAAAATGGAGGGAGTAGGTACGAACGGGTCGACCATTTTCCCTCCTTGCATTGAAGATGGTGGTTTAAATTACGATGTGGACTTGATGGAAAATTGACACTCGTCAGCGAGTGCATGAAGTGCAGAATAGTTTAGTTTGACAGTACATAAGGATAGCGTGCACTCCTTCATGATCGACATGGCAATGTCGTTGCTAGATCGGGGCCATCAGAACAAAGTCTACTGTTATCCAGTTAGAAGCCGACTTTTTTTTAGAATATAGTACAGATGTAGGCGCTTATATATCGTACATCTTCAATACATAAATTATATTTATCTTTATCTTTACCTACTAATAAAGCACATATTGTTTCTATCGGGTTCACCGTAATGGCGTTTTTGCCAAAAGGCCCCTGACTTTTTGTAGCATCAACCTACACTCCCTTTTTTAAGTGGCTAAACAAAAAAGCGATTCGTTCTTCAACCCACAATCCTTTTTGTTGCGCTCGGGTGTCGCATCAGGCGGCGGCAGCAGCGATGCGGTGGCAGCGAGGCGGGTGGCATGCGCGGAGATGGAGGAGAACATGGAGAGTCGTCCGGGGGCGAGTAGTTCGCCAGCATCGACACCACAGACCATGGCAGTGCAGGCTTGCAAGGGGCAGTAGGAAGACGAGCAGAGGGGAGCGTCGGGGAAGGGGGATGTGATACGTCTCCAACGTATCTATAATTTTTGATTGCTCCATGCTATATTATCTACTGTTTTGGACTATATTGGGCTTTATTTTTCACTTTTATATTATTTTTGGGACTAACCTATTAACCGGAGGCCCAGCCCAGAATTGCTGTTTTTTTTGCCTATTTCAGTGTTTCGAAGAAACGGAATATCAAACGGAGTCCAAACGGAATAAACCTTTCTAGAACGTGATTTTCTTCCCGAATATGACCCATGAGACTTGGACCCTACGCCAAGGAAGCTTCGAGGTGGGCACGAGATAGGGGGGCGCGCCCTATACCCCCAGGCGCGCACCCACCCTCGTGGGCCCACCGAAGCTCCACCGACGTACTTCTTCCTCCTATATATACCTACGTACCCCCGAACGAACAGAGACGGAGCCAAAAACCTAATTCCACCGCCGCAACTTTTTGTATCCACGAGATCCCATCTTGGGGCCTGTTCCGGAACTCCGCCGGAGAGGGCTGTCATCACGGAGGGCTTCTACATCATCATAGCCTCTCCGATGAAGTGTGAGTAGTTTACCTCAGACCTTCGGGTCCATAGTTATTAGCTAGATGGCTTCTTCTCTCTTTTTGGATCTCAATACAAAGTTCCCGCCTCTCTCGTGGAGATCTATTCGATGTAATCTTCTTCTTTTTGCAGTGTATTTGTTGAGACCGATGAATTGTGGGTTTATGATCAAGTCTATCTATGAATAATATTTGATTCTTCTCTGAATTCTTTTATGTATGATTGGTTATCTTTGCAAGTCTCTTCGAATTATTCGTTTGGTTTGGCCAACTAGATTGGTAGTTCTTGCCATGGGAGAAGTGCTTAGCTTTGGTTTCAATCTTGCGGTGTCCTTTCCCAGTGACAGAAGGGGCAGCAAGGCACGTATTGTATCGTTGCCATCGAGGATAACAAGATGGGGTTTATTTAATATTGCATGAATTTATCTCTCTACATCATGTCATATTGGTTAAAGCGTTACTCTATTTTTAACTTAATACTCTAGATGCATGCTGGATAGCGGTCGATGAGTGGAGTAATAGTAGTAGATGCAGAATCATTTCGGTCTACTTGTCACGGACGTGATGCCTATATACATGATCATGCCTAGATATTCTCATAACTATGCTCAATTCTGTCAATTGCTCAATAGTAATTTGTTCACCCACCGTAGAATACTTATACTCTTGAGAGAAGCCACTAGTGAAACCTATGGCCCCCGGGTCTATTCTCATCATATCAATCTCCATCACTTTAATCTTGCTTTGCTTTTTTACTTCGCCTTTTACTTTTCACTTTGCATCTCTATACCAAAAATACCAAAAAATATTATATCTATCAGATCTCACTCTCGTAAGTGACCGTGAAGGGATTGACAACCCCTAATCGCGTTGGTTGCGAGTAGCTATCGTTTTGTGCAGGTACGAGGGACTTGAGCGTGGCCTCCTACTGGATTGATACCTTGGTTCTCAAAAACTGAGGGAAATACTTATGCTACTCTGCTGCATCATCCTTTCCTCTTTGGGGAAATCCAACACAAGCTCAAGAGGTAGCAAGAAGAATTTCTGGCGCCGTTGCCGGGGAGTCTACGCAAAAAGTCAACATACCAAGTACCCATCACAGTCCCTATCTCTCACATTACATTAGTTGCCATTTGCCTCTCGTTTTCCTCTCCCCCACTTCACCCTTGCCGTTTTATTCGCCCTCTCTTTCCCAATCTCCTTCTCCTTCTCCGCCTCTCTTTTTCGTTTGCCTTTTTCTCGCTTGCCTTTTTGTTTGCTCGTGTGTTGGATTGCTTGTTTGTCGCGATGGCTCAAGATACTACCAAATTGCGTGACTTCACCAATACCAATAATAATGATTTCCTT